TTTTTAAAATTTGGTGTACTGTCGATTATTTGGTCTAATGCCGGGAAAGCAGATCACGGGGAATCCAAACTATCAATTTTCATGCATACTCTTCGTGTTTATTTCTTTAAATAAATAAAAATAATAATAAAAAAAAAAAACAATAATTTTACCTTGTAGAGAGCATTTAAACCTTTGTCGAATTTAAGTGCATATTTTTCGAAGTGCTATTTCATTACTGTATTTGAGTAACCTTTGGTCAACTATACAAAAAAATTAATTATACGAGGTAATCGTTAAAACTAAAAGACGCAATTAAGTTTTTACAGCATGCTGGGATTAGCGTTTTTTTTTTTTTTTTTTAAACATACATTTGCGCATAGCATTGAGTGCGAGAGTACAGCCGCCGGGTGTAGATTATCTAGAAGGGATCATTCGCACCTGAGTAATCGGGAGTACACTGTACCTGCATCGAATCGAAAAACTATTTTTGAGCTGCCGCCTTCCCCTCGTTTGGGTAACAATAATTTTGAAATTTTAGAAATAAGATTATTGTTCATATAAAGTGAATGCAGGGGCCGATATGGCATTTCTTGTCGTATTACAAGCGACTTTAATTTGTAGGAGTTATAGTGCCCCAAAAATGCGATAGCGACAGAGATATCAATATTATTATAAGTATTATAGAGCTGTAAGTATATAGAGCTGTAAGCTGTAGAGAGTATTATAGAGCTGTAAAATAGCTGTAAAAATAACATCAAATATATAGGAAATTGTAAGGAAACCAAAAAGTTTGTTATAAGCCGTGTTTATAACGAATGTCTTATTTTGTTATAGCGGAGTCTGACTGTATTAAAAAACAGTGCTGCAGCGGGATGCTTTTCTTCATTACCACTATGTAACCTTTACAGCATTTAAAAAAAGGGGGAGGAAGTATTTTCTATACCAATAGTAAATGCCGCATGATATTCTCAAAACTCAAATAAAAGATCTAAATAAAATATAACAATAATACAGAAAATTAAAAATGGAAAGAGAGGTCAGGTAATATGCATTAGCTATTTATCGAAAAGCTGGCATCACTTTTATCTGGCTTCGAGCGCAAGTAACAAGTCGTTTTAATCGAAGAGGAAGTACGAAGCAACTATGTTAGTCTGTCTCCAGGCCGGCCTTCTCTCTCACTCTAGGAGAAAAAAAAAAAAAAAAAAAAAAAAAAAAAAAGACTAACGCGTATAGAACAAATCGAGACAATTCTTTTTATTTTTACTGTCGGAAGAGGCTGCAGTGGGGGAACGAGAGAGAAAGGAGGGAGGCAAAACCGCTTTTTTTTTTTTTTTTTAAAGCACGCAACCTTTTCTGTTTGATCTTTCGTTTCCTTTGTATTTCTGTGCATCCGGACTCGTGTTTTTAAAACTGGTGGGCAGCGGACCTATATTAGTCTGTTGTTCTAGTCTATGAAGATCGCTCCGGCTCACATCCTCCACAAAGACATAATGCTGTAAACCTACCGGTGAAAATGACTTTTTTTTATATATACCCACAACCTCTCTGTTCTATCAGCTACTGCCTGGGTGGGTTTTCCCCTTATTCCAACCTTTTGTGAATGTGTACTTAATTTGTTTGTTTTGTCGCATTCTGTTCTCTGTCTATTTCGTTGGGGATTTCAACCTTGCTGGATAAATCATGGTGGAAAGAAAAGAAAAAAAAGTCAGTTCTAAGCACTTGACAAACCACCTGTTACGCTGAAACTTTTTTAATGCAATTGCGATATATTAGTGTGACTGACATTTGGAAACATTGCACATTACTAAGAATTTTGTACAGTTGATAATTCTTAGTCTGAAGATATAGCTGGAATGTTTCTCAATATGAAACATCTAGTAATATATGAACTGTTCCCGTGTACTCAGGCTGCAATGTGAAATTCGCACGCGATTGTGCTATTTGTCCAGCAATAACTTTTGTTTTTAACAAATTAAGAATATAAAAATATTTCTTGATAGGTTCTGAATAGAAGATAATTCTTTTTAAAGTTCAATTAGATAAAGAAAGGGATGTAAGTTTCAATAATTATTTCTTACATAAATTACTTCGTATTCTGTATTAGTTAGATATAGATTTATTAAAATATAAATTTTTGCTCTTAAAATTGCCAAGAAATAAGTATAAAACATAGTACTACGATTGAGATAACTCAGCATATGGTTAAGTTCTTTCATTAAAGCTTAAACGGGGATGGTCTTTCAGATTGCGAGCTATGGGAGGCAATAATAGAATAATTCCACATAAAAATATTTTCAGTGAGCTTTAAACCTTTTATGAACTATTTTATAGACTTTTATGGAATTTTATACGTTCTCAGCTTTACTTGGTCCTACTTCCCCCCTCTCTTTTTTCGGGGGGGGGAGGGAGAATGGATCTTGTCGTTTAGATATGAAGTAAAAGTCAACGAGAATAAAACATTTTCCCTTCATTTTTGATTTATTTTAGCTGAAGATTGAAATCATAAAACTGTAAGAAAAATTAGCCGTTATTGAATTAAAAAGAACTTTGGAAGCTGGACTTTGGGAGAAAAAGGGAGACAAAGTTATGTTTTCTTACGTTTATTTATAGGAGAGACAATTATTGTTCAAAATAAAGGGAACCAGATTATTGGAGGGGCAGATTAACCAGATCGTGTCTTCTTGTTGTGGACCGATGGAAAACTTAGTATCACAAATTACCAGCATAACACAAAACTGCCTATTAAGGCACAAAGGAAAAGAAAACTGAATACGATAACAGTAGAGATGTCATAGCAATATTGGACATTAGTTGTTTTTTATCCACATTATTTACATTTATTTATGTAAATTAAATTACGTATTGCTGTTTTTAAAACTGGTGTAAAGCGAATTTAGTTTACATAATGTGAAGTATTATTTAATTTACATAATGCGAAGTATATTACCATTGTTAAATCACCTGTTAAAAGTAAATTACTCTAAAAAATAAATCAAGTTGTAGAGTTGCTCACTCTTATTCTGCTAAAGTAAATGTCGAGGAACACTGGAAATTGTTAAGCGATTTATCGCTGAGTTCAAATAACAGAGGTCGAAGACTCAAGAAAGGGTTAACTACCTTTTATTTCACTCAAAATAAGATGAACAGTTAGCCCTTTTAAGAAATAAGAACTATTTAGAACTATCTAAAAGAGACTTAGCCGAAACTAACACATATCTAACGTAGTTGGCCCTTAATTTAAACTAGCCGACGAATATCAAAAGGCAAGTAGTAAACGGCCCAGTGTAACAGCTTGTAGAGAGACCTAGCCCGAAGGCAACGCGCTGTACTCGGGATTACGTTGAAACAAGAATCGATAGGAAAGTATATTGAAATAAAAATAATCGTTATAAAATTAAAATGTACCTTATAAAGTATACAACCATTAATCATTTGTTTCACATTGAAGGCTTTCGAAATTCAAAATTAAAGTAAACGAAACGAAGAGAATATACACCATGAAATCGGGAAGAAAGACTGTGCACACAACGCTCAAAACAAGAAATTTAAAAAAAAAAAAAAAAAAAAAAAAGGTATTGTTTATATCACCAGATAAATTTATTATCCAGATTAAATAGTGAAAAAATACTCGTAGTTAATAAAACTTTCTTTTTATTAAAACATGAGTTATGTGTTCCTCTTTCATGTACTTTTTAATTTACCTTTTTAATTGCCTCGGATTTACTGTGATTTTATCATTATTGTATCTAGTTAATCGGAAGTTGAGTGAATCATAATTTAAGTACTGAATTGCACCCTTTAATTGTAATTTTTTAAAGTCATTAGATTTGTCAAGTGCACAATGTCCTCTCCGGGACTCGAACCTCGGATCTCCCGACTGTTAGCCTGGTGTGCTTCCTTACCTTGGCAAGGGGGAGAGGAAGAAAGTACCTTACATTTTCCTCCACTTAAAGGGCGACTGTGGATACCCAACTGCCAAATCCTTATGGCGACAAATTATTGCCCACTGTATTTTAGTTCGGGCGCCACTGTGGTTTCATTAAGTATTTTTCACATCAGGCAACATGAAAAACGGGCAGTGCCTTGGCCAGAATTTGAGATCTGGATCTTCCGGTTGCTAACTGGGCATATTTTCAGTTATACTTCAATACAAGTTACTTCTTCTGTTTACTTGACACACACATACAAATAAAGCTTGTATAACATACTTGGAAGAAGTATAAATGTACTGGAGTTACTTCATTTCGTTTTTCTGAATCTTCTGTCAAATGTAATGCATAACTTCTGTGTGCATGGAAAAGTTTATAAACTACAAACATAAGTCAGTATGGGGGGAGTTTTTTTCCCCTCTCGCTATATTGACTCTAAAGTCAACAGTTTTATTACAAAATATTTCCATCCAAAGTTAATATTATCTGATAAATTATTATTGATTGACAGTCAAATGATTGCAGAGATAGCTTCTTTTAGCATAAAATATAAGTTCAGACATCAAATTTATTTCATGAAATGTTTGCATCATAGGATGCAAGCAGGGCTATAGGGCTTCGGAAAGGTCGATTTGTACAGGGTGGCTTTTTTTTGGGGGGGGCAGCATTTTTTATGCGAAATATAATTTTATAGGTTTCATTATATTCTCAAATATAGCATTCCAAGCACTTCAGATATTGTAGTACTATCGCAAACATTTCTTACATAAAATAGCTACTGAAATATTTAAACTTCTAGAATGTCTAAAGTCTGAATTTTTCTAAAGAGCAAAATAGCACTTTAGGATGCTAGAATTTTATTTCAAAAATTAGAGGGCCTTCAAATGAATCGTCCCAGGTAGCATAAGTTTTAATTACGTCACAGGGAACATGTAAAAATTTTTATAGTCTGACGATGAAAGAGCTTTCATTCGTGTGTTGACTGAGTCGATGCTAAGTTTTTAAATAATCCATTGTGTTTAAAATTCCATATGTCGACACATGGTATTTTTAAATGGCTAGATTTGATTTTTGTTTCGCTCTCCTTAGGTATCTGTTCTGCAAGTGACACAGAAGACGATGAACATGTTTGTGGAAAGTGTCGAGCTGAATTTCCCTCCTTGTCTGAATTTTTGCAGCATAAAAAGAGCTGTGTCAGCAAAAGACCAGTGCTGGTTGCACCGCTGGACTCTTCTATGGACACAGAAGAAGATGATGATCCTGACGATTTGGACGATAGGTTATCTCCACCTCAGCTTAATAATGAACGGAATGACAATGACAGATCTTTACCACCTAAGGATTGGTTCTACGGTTATAGCACCGGGGACATTCGATCCCTTCTGCTGTGTTCACAAAGGCCGGACTCCAATGTCACACTCGAACAGTTGAAGAATACAACAGTAGCAGTTGCACAGCACAGTCAATTTGATGAAGTTCATCTCCGTGCGTTTTTCTCAAAGTTCCAGCAGCAGCAGGTTGAATCTCTACAGTTGATCAAGACTTTAGAGAAAATGCTCCTAAACTCACAACCTTTGGCTCCACCACCTCTGATAGGTACGGCGGCATTGACGCCTCCACAGAATGCAGATCTTCCGCCTTCAGTGGGTTCTGTTTCAACACCCATCACGTCTATAATGGCAGCCTATCCACAAGGAACAACTCAGGAAAGCCCAGGGCCACCAATACCTCCTCCCGAAACGAACAATTTGGCACTGTTAGAGAAGCAAACAGAGAGGTACATCCAGGACGTAATGACAAAACGGTCATTTTTAATCAATGGAATCGATGACGATAACAGGTTAGTAGTTTTTACGTGACTTCCTTTAACATACCAGATTATAACCGGGAAATATTTATACGGCAGTAGTGATTTCTTGGGTATATGACTTCGATTTTCATAAATCTTTGAAAGTATTATAAAAAGTTTAAACAAAAATTTATATCTTATGATTAAGCTGCTTAATACACAAGAGTCAGTGGGTCATCATTGTTTATCTGTTATATATTGAAAATGAGAAAAACGTTATTTTTATAAATGTTTATTAGCCCAGAAGGGTTATTTGAAAATTATTTTTTCATGCTTTGTCCAACTAAGTGATAATCCATTGCAAAAATACTTTAACTCCTTAAAGTAAATTAAATAACGCTGTGAAAGCATTCAACTTTTTAAAACATTTTCTGTTAAATATGACTATTGAAAAAATCGTTTAATGCAATTAGATTTTTTGCTTCTTGAGTCGGAATATGTCGTAAAAAATGTAAGAAGTGAATGGTTCATTTTATAGTAATTTTAACAGTATTGATCAAAGAATCTTCAAATCTATATGTGCATTGTTGGTAGACGAGTGAAACATTGTAAATCAAAATGTCCAATTAGCTTTTCTTTTATATTATTTCATTTAAAGCACGTATTGCTGTATAAGCACAATATATTTATAGCTTGTATTTTATGACACTCGGATTGTAAAGTTTAAACCCTCTACTTTTGGATGCCGATGTTATTTCTTCATTTATTCCTACAGACGCATTTGGTTCGCGCAAAAGCTATTGTGAACTACAGCTTTTTATCATGCAACTTTTTCATAGCCCTCTTGTAGAATTCTTCTCTTCTGTTATGGAAGAAATTTTATAAAAATTGAAAGACTATTGCCATAATTGTCTTTATTTCCCAAATTAAGGAAGTCACACCTGAAGCTAAATTTACTGGCTGCTCCATCGTGAAGCTTTAGTAGCCAAAGCAATCCCCTAAAACCGGAAAATCGTTTTGAAGGAAGTTTGTGAAAATTGTTATGTTCATTAAAAGCCGAGCTTTAAATTCGATAATATTTAGGATTTTTTGCGAAGAGATGGGCAGTGAACGTGAAACTCTTTTGTTACATTCCGAAATGAGGTGGTTATCAAGGGGCAAAGTTTTAAACCGTCTTTTTGAACGTCGATCAAAAATTTAAATTTTCCTCTGTGATTCAAAATTTGAATTGCAAAAATGTTTACTTAGTGAATTATTGTTGACTCTTTTAGCATATTTAGTTCATATTTTTGAAAAGTTGAAAGTATTAAATTTAGGATCACAAGGATAAAATGTTAATTTATTTACCATGAGAGATAACATAAATAAAATGATAAAAAACTCGAGCTAATAATCCAAGAATTGGATAATAATATTTTAAGCTTTTTATCCCTTTTATAAAGTTTTCTAACCAAAAATAATTTGAAAATAAAAAAAAAAGAATTAGCATCCTACATTAAGAAACCATTGTTTTCCATTACTAAATAATTTCAATATTTATTTTCCAGAGGATCACGAAAAAGAGAATTGGATTAGAAATCTACTTTGTTCAAATATACCTGAAATTTTATCTTGTGAAGAAAAAGAATAACTGATAGAAATTTCATGTCATCGAACTCTAACCGAAGATTTTAAAAATAACACACTTTTTAACTTTTATCTGACTCGAAGGAAAGAATTTAAAGGTACTTCAAATAAAGCTATTAAGTTTTTATTGCCTTTTTGCATAACCTATTTGTATGAACAAGGATTTTCTTCCATATTATATTTGAAGAATAACTACAGAACAAAATTGAAAGTGGATCTTAATTTACGGTTAAAACATAAAGAAATTGATCTCCCTTAAACAGGCCCAAATTTCATACTAAATTTTAGAATTAAATTATTGTCACGAATTTTGCACTTAGACAGATAGTTTTAGTAGTAAATTGTTAGTAATTAGTAATTTTAGTAATTAAAATTGTTGTATTTCAGCATGCAATGCAGCGCGAGACAAATTTTAAGAGAAAGCTATGCCGGAAAAGTAAGAATACAGGGGCACGTGCATTTAACATTGAGTATATTAATTCAGAAGTCAAACAACAAAAATCAGCGTTAATTTTCAAAATTTTCACAGGACTAGTTTCGATGGTTTTACCGAACCACCATCCTCAGCTGCAAAACCGCAATCCTCAGCCGCAAATGCGGTTTTGCAGCTGAGGATGGTGGTTCGGTAAAACCATCGAAACTAGTCCTGTGAAAATTTTGAAAATTAACGCTGATTTTTTTTTGGTTGACTTCTGAATTAGTACTTATTCGGCGTGTTATTGTGTCTTAATTGAGTATATTGTTATCTCGGTAATTTGTATTGAAATTGAATAAATGTAATTGACCACTATCTTAGCTGTAACCGTAATTCTATCCTCTTATTGCTCTCCAGAAATCTCGAGAAGCAGAAAGTACTAGAAATTTCTCGCGACTGGTTGAAAACTGTAAAATGGTAACCAATTTTTAATCTAATATTTCTTATGCGTGCATATTTAATACAAATAGCTAATAGGTTGTGCAAATGGCAATATATATATATATATAGTTTAATATTTCTATTGAAAAATTGAAAAAAAAATGTATTGGTGGTACCAGTTTCTAAAATTTTATTTAGAGATGGTAGGCTTTAGTAAAAAAGTTGAGAACCGCTTTCCTAGGTCATGGGCGTAGACAACGGAGTGCAGGAAGGTGCACTTGCATAACTCTAAACAAACGCATTTTTTCCTTCTCAGATATTAACCAGCAAAAGTTTCCGAAACATTTATTATATTCATTGTTATTCTGTTGAGCATTTTCAGTGCAAAAATTCAGACCTCTCGAGCAACAAAATTTTCCTGACTTTTTTAATGTGCATATTGTTAGTATTATCATCATCAACAGATTGATGGATGTGTATTTAAACAGTTTTTCTTCCAAGTTACCATCAGAGAAAGTTTTCGATACAAACTAGAAAACGCATATCGAAGCAATAGGACTGATTAAATATCAACTCAAAATATCTTATGTGCTGTAACTGCCGTATAAAATAACGAGAAAGTGAAACGAACACATTGTCAAATAATTACTGAAATTGATTGTTCGTTAACCTTTGTGTTACACGTATAGTATATAAAGAGTGATTGAAAATTATTTGTAAAAATGTAAAAGCAGATCGGACACCAGTAGACTGCTCTAGTTGGCGTGAGCAACTTAAAAAAAGTGCCGTAATCTTTTCACGTTCCTCATCTTTCGAAAAAGTTACCAGTGCATAAAGACACAACGATGCAGCACCATTGCGGAGCTCATTGTCGTGAGGAAAGCAATTCTCACAAGGCTGCCAGGACACCAATCTTCGCAAACAGTCAACTTGCACAAATGTTCCAGCACCTTTTTTTTGACAATCACTCAGTAAGCTATAAGGATACCTTGACATATAAAGGCACAAATCTGTCGACATCCTTATGAAGTTCAGTATGAAGAAAGCAACCCTCACTAAGACTGCCGGAACACCCATGTAAAGGTCTTAATCTTGGCGAACATTTGCTTACATGCATAAACGTGTTGCTCTCTTTATATTATATTGCGGAATCATCCGTGTAGCGGGACACGAAAATTTCATGCTTTTATGCAGTGTAACAAAGAATAGAATAAGTTCTTACAATTATGGATATGCAACGAGTTAACGGTGATGAGGTTGAGACATTTTTACGGTTACCAATTAGTTTATCTTTTTTTAGAGTCAAAAAATCTTTTTCTTCCTTAAAGTTTATCATTTTTTGTTGCATGAATTCTACAATTATGTTTAATGATTTCATCTTTTTTTTAAACAATTGGTATTAAGCAATAAAGCAGCGTATTAGGCAAAATGTCCTGACTCTCCCGATAGCTTCATCCATTTCTGATTATACTCATGCAAAATACTATGCATGATATGCTACTTTTTTTTTTTCCTTACTATATATTTTAAGTAAAGTGCAACCCTTGAACTTTACTTAAAATAAACCTTTTCTTTGCACAAAGCATACCTTTTCCCTACAACCCTACACCTTGCCACTAACTCCAAAGCACAGATGGGCCCACCGGCGGCCGAGCGGTAAAATCGCTGAACACTGGTAGTTCGGTCCGAGGTTAGAATACCGCGAACGGGCTGGCTGCATGGGTGTTTTCGTGGTTTTCCCCATGTCTAACGTGTATACGAGCCAGTTTCCCTTAGAAAGTCCTCCACGAAAGCATCCATCCCCTTAGGCAGATAGCCCTAGTGTGCTTTGCCATAATTAAATACACCACTACACCGCACATCAAAGCACAGGCAGTTAAACAAGCGTTTGGCCAATTATGGCCCTCAATTTTCTTCATCCATTCACTCATTCTAAGCATAAACCAAATTTCCAAAAGTCAAAAGTGTTACCCCAATAGAAACTCAAAAGCTTTTGACCATGTTGAATACATTACTTTATGAAGGTATCGTTTAAGTCAGAATCGACTAAAGTTTACATATAGACTAACGCACGTATGTTAAATATTCACAAGTAGGTAAAGAGCAAACCATATACAGTAATCTGAGTGAACACTTGTAAAAATTAGTGCCGGTTTTTCTCCAAATTAAGAACAAATTCTCTTCATTCCTGCTTATATTGCGAGTGCCTCAGTTACCGATATGAGTAAAAGAAATATTGACTTGTAAGCCAGCTTGGTATATTGTTAATGTTGCGGGGTAAAGTAAAGATAGATTAAGTAGACATAGACAGATAGAGTGTGGTAAAGACAGATTTAATGATACCTTAAAGGTCACAGTGCGATCTTAAATTGTCAGTACTTCAATGTAGATTCATTAAAAAGTTTGTCTTTTCAGGTCCAAGAACAAGAAATTCGAAATGGATCCAGCCATGAGACACAGGTGCAACTTCTGCGGAAAGCTTCTTGGCAGTGACAGCGCTCTCCAAATTCACCTTAGGTCGCACACTGGTGAAAAGCCCTTCAGATGCAACGTATGTGGAAGCGCTTTCTCAACAAGGGGCAACCTCAAGGTGCACTGCCAAAGGCATAAGGAGAGAATGGAACTGGTCGGAAGTGTAGAAGAACCCAAACTGTCCACTGAAAGCAACGCTACTGGGGCAGATGGAAAACAAAGTCCATCAATGCTTTTCGCCCATGATGGTACAAACAGAGGTAAGGCAGTTACCCGTTTCTAACCCAGTTCATAATACCTATTCTTATTATATGGTGGGACTGATTGATGTCTGCTGTTACATAGCAGATAATTATAACAGTCAGCTGTATCTAAATATTTAACAGCAAAAGAAATCGCAATGTTTGTTTGTACTTACTAACCGTATTTTCTTAATTTCGACTTTGTTCTGTTCCTTCTGAAATTGCATAGAACTCACTTTGAGAATTATGAAAAACAGTTGGATTAAAGAAAGAGCTATTAAGGTAACTAGGAAACTAATACCTAAACCAGTGGGAGAAGAGATTCAGAAATAATTGGGTTATTCTAAAGACCATTATATCCTGTCCATATCGAACCTTCTGAGATCTCTGGCCAAGAAAATAATTGAGTAGTAAATACTTGATTATGATTGACCTGTAAATGTATAAACATACAAATTAAAATCAGCTTCCTGGTTGGAATGTTTTCATATAGCTCCTGAAGAAAAAATAGCATGTGTCTAAAATTTTCCAGTGCTGATAACAGTACTAGGAAATGAACACTTTTCTTTAAAATAATAACCTGCAACATCTGTATATTTTATGGGAGCTACTGCACAAGTTTTTCAAATAGATTTCATTATCATTTGAAGGCATTCGTCGAAATTCTGCCTTCACATTTTTTTTTTTTTTTTTTCCCAATTTCTTTTACATCAAAAAAATCACCTTTTGTAGTGAACTTTTGTTTCATTAAAAGAAAACAGTCCAATGAGGGGGAGGATATCAGACAGGGTGATTTATTTCTGCTTTTCGTCTATTTGATCAAGAACTGCTTCACATTAAGAGCAGCGTTATCATGCGAGGGAAACAAGAAGCCTTTCTTATGAAACAGTTTAATACTATGTAGTCTTTTCACCAGTCTGTCCAAAACTTCTGCAGAGTAATCTGTGTCAGTAGTCTGACCTGGAGAAGTGAACTTAAGGTGCATTAATACCTGTCTATCAAAGAAAGCCATTCACATCACTGACTTTGCGAAGAGGAGTTTGCGCTGTCATGGAGAGCTAGGGTTTGCCCTTCTATACTGATTCTTTACGATTCCGGATCAGATGGCACCAGCTTTCATCACTCATTACAACTTAAGTCAAGGGAAAAGAACGCTATTCGAAAACTCGAGTCGATGAGAAGCTTCCAATCGGCATTGCTTTTACTATACTATAAAATGCGGCACAAATCTTAAGGCTCAGATCAATCGCAAGCATCCTAAATATCGTTTGACCGCTTGCAGCCACTAAATCACAAACGTTTTTAAAATTTTATATGTTTGCATGCAAATATGAAGTGACGACAAGAGCATTATCTTCTGTGCTTTTTGTTCGGTCACGGTCTACTCAAAAGTGCGAGAATGGACATTGCACTATCCCCATATACAATTTTTCATCATTTCATGATTTCTATTAGTGGTTTCCTGAGCTTAAAACGAAATATTATTCCTACTTTCCATTGTTTTGGTAAATAATATATGAGTATAAAATCTGAAGAATTTTTTAAGTCGCTTTAGCCCAATTTTAATATTGTTATTTTCACTGTATATATAAACTTAAAATAGGTTTAAAAAGAACTGTGAGAAACACCGCAGATCACTAAAATCACTCACAGAGAAAGCAATAATCTCTAGGCAGGTCTCAGTACAATCGTAAGACTCTGAATGAGTAACTGAACTGACAGTCTCATGACTCCAGTGTAGCCTTCGTTTAAGTAAATTTCCAAACTGTTATTCATTTGGGGAGTTAATTGATTAAGGTAAAGCAACTTGAGACATATCTGAGAAAAGGATGCCCTCATGGAGAACTTTTTAAGGGAAACTGGCTCTTGTCCACGTTACACATAAGAAAAAACACGAAAACCAATCAGGATTCGATCCCAGTGGAAACTAACATTGTTTAGCAAATTTACCGCCTGGCCACTGGTGGGTCCGTCATAGGAAGGCTTATATCTATATCTTAGATTCAAACGGTATTCGGTTTTAAATTATAATATCTATTACTTCGTTTTTGAAAGAAATATTTACAATGTCATCATAAGTTCTGTTAAACAAAATTATACAATAAAACTATTCTATAAAATGAGCTTAATAAAAAAATAATTGAATAGAAATAATACTTAATACTACAAAAAAACCTAAAATCTAATTATAATCAAATAAACACAAATATTTACTAACAAATTACTATATATTTTGTAATGTGTAGGAAATGGGGATTTAAGAGGTTTTATTTAGTTATTTATTTTTGTTATCATATTTTTGTTTCGAATTTTAATTAAAAAATTGCATTATAAATTCATATTTCTTGATATAAGACTATTATTCTTTACTTTAGTTGATACATCAAAAGGAGAACAAGCTTTGGATTTTTCAACTTCTATCAATGGCCGAAGATCTCCTCAAGGCGATGCTAATAGTAGGAGCATCTCGCCAAATGATATGTCCAACTTCAGTGACAATTCAGCGGATAATTCATCTGACGAGAACACAGCCAATGATAACTATGGAGATTTAAAAATCGATGTAGAACGATTTGATGATGATGATAGAGATAATTCTAATGGTTTAGACGATGAAGGTTCAGAAGCTGCATCAACACGACCTTCGTTTGGTCCTTCTCCCACCTTTTCTACTTATTTCCTTCCTTCCTCTTATGATAACTTTACAGCATCTGCATCGCAAACAACAGGAAATAATAATAATAATCCTTCGAATACTGATGGCTCAGATACTATACTTCAAGATCCTACATATTACCAAGACCTATTGCCAAGGATTGGGTCCAATGACAATTCATGGGAAAGTCTGATAGAAGTGACGAAGACTTCTGAGACATCTAAACTTCAGCAACTCGTAGACAATATTGAACATAAACTTATAGAACCTAACCAGTGCATTATTTGCCATCGTGTATTGAGTTGTAAAAGCGCTCTACAAATGCATTATAGGACTCACACTGGTGAAAGACCATTTAAATGCAAGCTCTGTAGTAGAGCGTTCACTACAAAAGGTAATCTAAAAACGCACATGGGAGTTCATCGCACAAAACCAGCAGCAAGGCTCATGCACCAATGTCCAGTTTGTCACAAACAGTTTCCTAATTCTGTAATACTTCAGCAACACATTCGAATTCATACAGGCGATCCATCAGTGCAAATGCCACCGTTATATCATTCATGTGAAGACAGACCTCCTACATTGTTGCCTCCGTCATATCCGAGACAATACCTCATGCCTCCCCAGCTGATGAATAATGAACCTTTAGCATTGACCAGTTCTAAAACGCAAGAACAACAGCGAACTTTGCCAACTAGCGAATCGGTCATCAAGACAACAGGAATGGACACTAATCTTCCGCAAACGTCATGTGCATCTCCTGAACTCAGTGCAACGAGTAGTTGTTCTCCATCATCAAATGTAGATGACAATTCTACACTTAAAGAACCAAAGCCTCCTGTTTTAGATTTAGTGCAACCACATCATGATATGTCTCCAAAAGAAAAAATTCTCCAATCACCTATGGATAATTCCAAAGCCAATGAGATGAATATCACTCAGGGTAAGGAGACTATCTCTGGCAACAGTACACCAGCAGATATGCAGCCCGACTTTGAGGCTAATTTACAGCAAGAATCGTGTACTCCAAATCATAATCAGTCACCTGTTAGTGCCGTTGCAAACCAAGAAGTGGAAGACAAAAGTCCGACGAACATGTCCAATAAGTCTTCACCAAAGTTTTCTAGTCCTCCGGAGAATACACTAATAGTCAGTTTGGCTAGTGATAGACCTTTACCTATGACCTTACCGAGTGACTGCCCTATACCTTTTACAGTTCACGGAAGCGATCGCCCATACCCACCTATGAGTATATCCGGCTGTGCTCCTGAATATACCGCATCCCTGGCTGCTTTAGAGAATCACGTCAAAGGTATAAATAGCAATGTTACTCATCCCTTGCCATTCCCTCCACATTTTGGATTGGGTTTGAATATGGCTAATTATTTCCGCGACTACAATTATCCGCAAAAATCAACAGCTTCTTCTCCACCAGCAAGCAAGAATGGATCTGATATATCAACTGATGACAGGTCGACTCCTGGAGGTGCAACAAGTGGTAACAAAAGTGATTCACCTAGATCGAATGCAAACAATAGTCAGTCTACTCCGAAATCTGAAAGCTCTAATGGAGGAGGAGCTCTGGACCTTACACCCAGAAGTTCTCCTGCATTTCAACGACCAGGAGCAACAGACGTAAAAATTTTCGCCCCTTTAGTAGGCCTTCCTTTCGGTGCACCTCACCACCGTATGAGTACTACTTGTCGTGTGTGTTACAAGACGTTTGCGTGTAATAGTGCTCTTGAGATTCACTACCGCAGCCACACCAAGGAGCGTCCATTTAGGTGCGAAGTATGTGACAGGGGTTTTTCTACAAAGGGTAATATGAGGCAACACATGTTGACTCACAAAATCCGCGATCTCCCCGCACAAGTATTTTCCGCCAACACCAACAACAACAGCTCGTCATCAAATACGAGCACGACTCTTAAGTTGGAATCTAGCGGGGAGAAGTCTCCTAAGAAACCACCAGAAGAAGCAGCAAAACGTCCACCTACTGAAAACAGCTTACCCCTTCCTCAACCTAAGAGATCTCCTGGGCAACCAAAGCATCTCTGTCAAGTGTGCAATAAACCGTTTTCTAGTGGAAGTGCGCTTCAAATACATATGCGCACGCACACAGGTGATAAACCGTTCCAGTGTCATATTTGCCATAGGGCCTTTACTACAAAAGGTAATTTGAAGGTCCATATGGGAACTCACATGTGGAACAACAGTACTTCCCGTCGAGGCCGACGCATGTCTTTGGACCTTGGACCTCTCCAGCTTCCTCCTAGTGGTAAGCCAGGAGATTTTCCACAAACTTCGTATTTTCCCTACCTCCCACCATTCATGAATGGACTTCCTCCACCTCAACCACCCCCACCGCCACCACCGCCAAAAATGAATGAAATTTCAGTCATTCAGACAGCAGGCATGACCAACGGAGGAGCACCTCCTGTCACTACCAGCTCTGCTGGAAATTCTCAACAACCTCTGGCCCTGCTTTCCTCAGCAAGTAAGCAGCGAGACAGAGAGGAGTCAAATATTCATCAGAATCAAAATCAGCATTCTCAGGGAAAAGACTCTCACCCACTTTTACAACCAACTCCCGAGATGGCAGTCTCGTGGCCTTGGAAGATCTCGTGCAATATATGTAACAAGATCTGTTCCTCATCCACGGAACTTGAGATACACATAAGAAACAATCATTGCAAAAAAGAATCATCCGATTCAGATAGAACGGATTAAATATGAAAACCTTTTACAGGCTTTTCTTTTTGTAGCAGTCATCTGTGTATTAAGTTCCTAAATACGCTAGTCGTTGTCAACTCAAACTCGTTGCTCATTTTCTATTTAAAGACGAGTCATAGAGAATCTTTTAACTGTGATCCATCAGTACTGTTTCTTTGTGCTTTGAAGGGAGCATTGGGTCCTCGTACAATATTTATACATCTCATGTCTTATGTATTATACTATGGAGGGTAATGTGTTGTCCTCGTTGTACAAATATATCTGTTTATCAGCACAAAAGGACATGTGTGCTTTTACTTTGAACTAAGAATTTCGATATTCTGAACTATTTTCCTTATTTACGCAAGACGTTCCAAAGTGAGAAATATTAGAAAAAGAGAATGGGCATGTTCAATCAGTCTGCTTTCTATTAAAATCAAATAACTAAATATGCGTTTTAAATGTACATTATTAGTGATAAACAGATTTGGTAACTAGGTGATTTCCATCGTTACCTGTAGTTTGAATAATCTCGAAGACGAGAACAACATCGTGTTTCAGTATTCAGAATAGAAATATAATTGTGACAAACTGTTTCTGTGTTAGGAGGAATTTGTTTCCTGTTTTCCCTTCACTTTCAGTTATTCTGTGATAATCGCGTCATGCCATTTGATGTAAGCATTATATAACTTAATATGTGTAGTTTTCATTTGTGTGTAAATTGAGTGTTTGGATATATTGCTTGGAAATACAAGCTGGCAACTTGTTAATGTTTAACTTATGTTTCCTCACCATATGAGTTCAAATTTTTTTAAATTTCATTTATAGAACTCAAATTATCTGAGTTGTATATATGCATGATTAATATTGTGTGTTATGAAGGAAATTACGATTATTATTTTCAAATATAAAAAAAGAAGAAAATTGCTTAAATATAAGCTTCCGCTGCCAGCTTTGATACTGCAATACCGGCATTACTCACTAAAAATTTTATAAAGTTATAGAATGGTTCTGTTTTAGTGCAATCTATCTACAGTATGGTAAAAAAGTTTTAAGTGTAATTTATGGAACCAGAACTTACATTTTGTAATATGGAAAGGTGCCAAATATATTTCAGTTTAGCAAAGCAATTAATAATTTTGATTTTTTTAATTTTCCTGTTTTTATTGTAGTAGTTTTCGAATTTGTAGTATTTATTTAAAAAGTGATTAATATTTTTTACAAATTAGTGAGTATGTTTGTCCAAAAATCAAATTTGAATTATAATAATGCACGCAAATTTTTAACTTAAATCTGACCTTGCGTCAGGCCATTTTTGCCCCCAATATATTTTATTTTTCAACTGAATATAATTTCAGATTATAATTTTTGAAGTCTATAAATGAAATAAGTATCTCTTTTTTTTTTTTTAATTTTCAATTTGAAAATCATTTTAGATAAAATTTATTTTTCAATTAATATTAAAATCACCTGAATTGCAAGTGCAGAATTCACAACTATTGCATTTAGGTACAGGCAAAATGTTCTAATTCTTCTTTATTTTGTTGTTTACCAATTGATTCAGTGGATATAACAACTGATTTTAATTATTGTTTTTGTGTAATTTTTTTGAGGCTATTTTATTTCAAACATTTTATAGCATCATCAAAGTTTCAATCATGTCAAAAATTTTAGCTCCATTCCTTTGCTATTCAGTTAAGAAATGTGATTACTATAATAAATAGTTGAAATAAATTAATGATTATTTTTCACTTATAATTAAAAGTGAAACTTTTATTAAGATAATTTTTTTAAACAATTACTGTGTAAATAAAGAATTTTTCTTTTATTTTTTAAATATTTTACTTTATAAGAGAATTATTAAAACAGGAAATATGTTTTTATAAATTTGTTTTACTTTGTGTTAAAATGTTGACTATGTTCTTGATGGAGTCAAAAACGACTTGATACTAAAAATTTTGTGTATAAAGTGAATAGTTTTTATAATTTTTTCTTGTATATAAACATTATTTATGAATAAGTAAGATTAAAATTGAATTGAATGTTATACTAATTTTTGTATACAAATGGAAATTTTCTTTTAAACATTCTTCAAATCAGAAATGGAATGATGTTTATTTCATAAATTCTAATACATGAAATTTGCAACCTTTTTCCTTGTTTGAATTGTTTTATTTCTTTTCTTATATGAGTGCAAATCTTGTATCACATGAATTTTGATTAAATTTTTACTAATGAAGCTCATTAACATTCACATATTTTCTAATCAGTAAAATTTATTCAAATGTGTATATATATATAAAAATATTATGCTAATGAAGAAATCAACTTAATGTTAAGTATTTATATTAACAGCAATTGAAATACCAAATTCCTCAGATATGTATATATTTATTGAATATAGCTTTATTCTTTATATTTGGAAGGCAGTTACCAAAAATAATATGATTAACAAACATCTGATTCATTCATAATTTATTCCTTTTTATATTATGTGTCATATTTTGGGGAATAGTAAAAAAAAAATTTCCTTGGAAAACAAAGCATGCATTTCTGAATGATTTCCTTGTTTAAAAAATAAATAAATATGAAGGAAGTTGATTCAGTAATTTGTGATGTTACATTTAAATCTTCTTCCTGCTCTCTGTTTGTGTAGATTTTATGTATTGCAGTAGCTGTGGCACGGAGGCTAATTGCAGTGTTGTTAAGAAGCTGCTGTTCATGACTGTTGTTGGTATTTCTGGCTACCTCCATGGGTTGGAGTCATATCACAAGCTGTACAGAGCACCCTTAAGGAGAAGCCAGATTATATATCTTGAAACTACAATTTAATAAAATTCTTTTGTCAGTTGATAGTTGCATTGTCTTTGTGTTGCATATCATTTGTTTCTGTAAATAAGAAATTTAAAACTCACAATCCATAAGACATTTTGTGTTATTTCAAAATTATTCTCGACTAAATATCACTTAGAGTATTCTTAATCCATTCTTCAACAGATACAATATCTTGACTAATCGTTTGTCTTATCCGTTAACTTAAAAGAATTCGCCTATTACTTGTTCCAATAGATTTCAGCCTATATGAAGTCACTGATTACTAATACAAGCATTATAAATCAAGATTAACGGCTATTTTCTCGAAAGCATTTTATAAGGGGGCCGCACTTTTATACAGATTTTCCCAATAGAACAAATTTTCACAAAGTTTATTATTCAAAGAAGCTAATTGAAACCATATTTGTATAACAGTACTCTCATTTTTATGAAAGCTGTTTTTTTCGCATTAAAAGCTGATCTTCGTTAACGTGCCCTTATGTTGAGATGACTTTATGAACTTCTAATGACCTGGTGAACACTGACCAGTCTTCATTAGAGTGACGGTACCCCTTATGAAGATTTTTCGTTTCCAGAGCAATGGATAGGTAGCTGAAGGATAGTTGCATGGTTTTCAGGTAGCTGAAGCCTAACGCCAGTTAATTAACAAGATTTCTTCTTTGTTAACGAAGTCTGTCAAGGTTGCTATCGCTTTGCTCTTGCATGATGTCACTGCCTCGGTCTGCTCGGAAGCAACTTCTTCCCTGTTCGCTTTCTGTCTTCTTTTGTCCTATTCTTGTAAGTGACGTTAACGTTTGGGAAAAGCCTTACCTTTTTTGTCTATTAATCTTAGAAATCTGTTACATGATATATGGACACTATATAGAGGCTAGATGGAAAAAAAAAAAGTTTTCTTATTATGAACTTTAAATAACACCCAGATTTCCTTAGTACAACTTTCTAAGCGAATCTGCTTTGAATTTTATTCTTAAGACAAATGTATTCACGAGCTCTCTGCCATGTATGTCCACCAGCATATACGATTATCTGTTTTAATTTTTATAAATGAAATGAACTTACCCCTGAATGCTCTTAAAAGAAACCTTTCTGGCCAGTGTGAGAGATCTCTTAATATATAATTGGAGTTACATTTTGAAGACTGCAATATACTAGTTCCGTAAGCAATATTTCTGAAAATCGTGCCAAATCCTGTTGCCAGTATGTTTCATTCAGTCTGGTAAAAGCTTAAGAAAAATCTCATATAACCAGTCTGTAACCGCCAGGAACAGAATTCAGTTTGAAAAACGAGTATTTTGCAACTTCAATCATTTGGCAATTTGCTTTTACCATTTGTCAATTCAGTTAGCGTTCGATGCTTTGCATGCAAATTTTGGTATTAATAATGAATTGAACAAAGGCTCAGTTTTGTTTTCTTTTGTCTTATCAGAGGTGAAAATTTAAAGACAAATTCTGTAGTAGTTTCACAATATGATGTTAGACTATAGAAATTAATGGTAATCATCCAGAATTTCAAAATCCATGGTAGCGGAGTAAGTAATATAGCTGAGAATTGAATATTGCATCAAGTCGTTGTCTATATTTAGTACGTTATAATTGAATCAACAGTAGAAATCGAAAATTTTTGCTTGAATTACTAAATTAAAAAAGATACCAGCCGTTGTTATTATTATTCGATTCCATGGAAAAGATTAGTACCACCGATAATTCTTTGATATTTCATTCCTTAAGGTCCCTCCGTAATCTTGATCTTGGATACAAAGGCTAAGCGCAAATGTAACGAAATTTTATTCTGTATTTTTTAAATGATTTTTTCGGCTTATTATATTTTTCCGTACTTTTTTAGTCCAAAGGGACAATTTGCACTGAAGGACTATTAATTTCGTTTTCGCATTTTGCGTCGAAAATTTTAAAAGGCTGCACCACTTTTCAAATCGTTGCCACCATATATTATCGCTCTGTCTTATATTTAAAAAAATTAAATAATGAAGAATCTTCATAAATTTATGTATGTGTCTCGCACTGTGACAAAACAACGGTACTTAAAGCCATCAAAATTTGAATAACGTAATCTTCCATAGAATATGGCAATGCGGAAGCCCTAATTGGAATTTGAAATTTGTTTTATTATCGATTTCAGATTTTTATAACACTTCAACGGATTTTTGATTAAAAAAACTAAACGATTTCAAAGCGAGCGATGGCAATACTGTACGGAAAGAAAAACATTTTTATCTCCAGTGCGCGAGACTCTATATCGGAAATTCTAAAGATATGCTCATTTTAAAATTAATTTCCGATATTGCTGTTGAACTGAATTTTATAGTTTGGGTACGTAGAACATGATATTTAATAAATAAAGGTAACACACAAAACGTTAAAAAAACGCCCCTTTAGACGTAATTTAAAATCTAAAACTTTTCAGTTTTTTTTTTTTTTTTAATTTTATTTTATATACTGTATTTGAAAAATGTGGCACAACTTTATTCTAATTCTGCTTTTACACGACCAGCCTCGAGTAACAAGCATAGCCTGTTCCACTATGGCGTTCATTATCCAAAACACTGTTTACGATAAATTATCATGGGAATAATTTTGATACAGCTTTATTCAAAATCGCGAAACGTAAAAATTTCAGAACATACGTATTATATCCTTACTAGCTGTTTTCAGTTTATCTGAACCTTCACTGTCTGGTGAAAGACTGCTGTTTTTGAAATGCACATCTGCCATTGGTTTCTTAGAAAAACCTAGGTTTCAAAAAGTTGACGAGTACTTGTCTCAAAGAAGAGATAAATTCGTGGAGGATATTTTATGGGAAACTAACTCGTATTCATGTTAACATGGAGGAAACCGCTAAGATTATCCTTAAGTAGGGCATGGCATTAAATGAATATATCAGCCACTGAGATTGACGAGGTCCTAAACCTCATTCCAATTGGCACCTATGGAGTGGTGCTGTGTGTGCAGCAGTGGTGCTTCAGCTATTGTGAAAGTAGAGTTTATAAGGTCGGCTCTCGAGTATAAGTTAGGGAAAAAAGAACGCCATTCGAAGAAACCCTTTGGACCTTATTTCACGTCTTCGGGAGAATATTTTGATGGTTGCAGTAGGGTATGGATATTTGGTATTTTCTTTTATTTAGCAATACGAAAGTTTCCTCAGCTTCTATGAATTCCTGTTAAATGTTCTTCAGTAACAGTATAAATTTAAAAAATATATACTCTATTCGTTGTTACCATTTATGCCTAGATGCATTTTTTGCTTTTACATATCGCCAAAACAAAAAAGAGGGGGGGGAACTAATTTTCCTGTTTGAAGTGTAATGAAATTCAAATCCAGTTCGTAATACAGGACAGAGTTCATTACGTGGGACATTTTTCGGTATATGAGAAACTACCATATTAAAATTTCTCAAAGTAAGCTGATTATAAATATATATATATTGAATACTATAAACAAATAACTACAAAATGTATGCAAAAAAAATAAATAAATAAATAAATAAAATCTGAAATGTTTCAGATTTTAAATTACGTCCAAAGGGGCGTTTTTTAACGTTTTGAGTGTTACCTTTATTTATTAAATATCATGTTCTTTGCACTTAAACCATAAAATTCAGTTCGAGAGCAATATCGCAAAATAATGTTAAATTAAGCATATCTTTAGAATTTCCGATATACACAGTCTCGCGAGCTGGAGATAAAAGTATTTTTTTTTTCTATATAACGTTGCCATTTCTCGCTTTTAAAGCATTGAGTTTGTAAATCAAAAATTCGTTAAAGTTTTACAAAATATAAAATCTATAATAAAACAAATTCCAAATTTGGGATTTCAGATGCCCATATTCGCAGTAGGATTTCGTCATTCAAAATTCGATGGCTCTATGTACCATTGTTTTATCACAATGCGAGAAATAGACAATCATTTATGCAGATTTTTCATTATTTAATT